CGATATGTAAATCTACCCTGAAGCCCCAATTATAAAAAAATATATAAATATTAAAATATTAAAATATTAAAAATATAAAATAAATAAATAAAATAAGCCAACAGTGTGCAACTAACAAAGAAATTCACAGATCAATTGAAGTCAGTGTAGCAGTTAAGAGATCTATGATAAAATTGAGGATCTATATATCCATAATAAAATTGACCAGTACGTGACAACTTACGGAGCCATTACTCTCCACACAGTGCCGTAAGATCCGCGACCCAGCTCATCGACCTTTTTGCATTTATTCATAGAAAGCTTGATATTCTCGCATGGAGGAAAGTCTGGGATGGTCGGTCGGCTCAGGGACGAAGTGCGGGGGCGAGCATCCATTGACAGAGTTTGCTGAGTGAGTGACTCAGGTTTTAGAAATTAAAGATTTTGAGTGTGTTCCTGCATTTTCTAACATTATATGGGACGATCATTACATTTTCTAACATTATAAGATTTTGAGTTGCAAAATGATTTACAATTTTCTTTTCTTTTTATTTCGATTCACTGTCCGAAACCTCCTTGGCTGGGTGAACTGTGACTGGCGCAGGAACCAACCACGTCGCTTTCCGGGTAAAAATAGAAAGTACTCATCCGACTGACCAACGATTTTTTAACACTCGCGCCCTCTTCTTTACTTTCCTTTTCTCTTTGCAATAATATAACAAAACTTCATTGTTTACGAAACTATCAGATTGCATTGTTATTGATTTTTTGTGTCATTTGTGGTCCTCAAAGTTGGTATGTATGCTCACAAAATTTAAAAATGAAAAAACCTTTGTGCATAAAATTTTGGTTTTTTCATTTAAGCTTTTGGCTTTTCATTTCTAAATTTAAAAAACTCCCTTAATTTGCTCATGTGACATATATGTGGAGCTCACATCTCCAATAATATAGTGCCACGTGTATTTAAAATATAATATATATTTTAAAAATAATTTAAAATTTATAAAATGTTGGTTTTTTCATTTTTAAATTTTATGAATTTTAAATTGTTTTTAAAAAACTTCATTAGTTTGTTGATATGGCATATATGTGGAGTCCACATATCTAATAATATAGTGTCATGTGTATTTAAAATACAATATATTTTTAAATAATTTAAAATTCATAGAATTTTAAAAAGAAAACAAAAAATTTATGAATTTTAAATTAAAAAATTAAAAAATTTCATAGGACCATTTGTGAACATACATATTAACCTTGCGGATCACGAATGAAAAAACAAAAAAAACAAAACAAAACAAAAATATAATTTGATAGATGTGTGAACCTCAGGGACGTTCTATGATATATAGAGTCCCGTTCTCCTAGACTCCTATAGTCCAAGAAAACTGTGGTCAACCACCCACAAATTAGATCTAAGGGTTGAGAAAAAAAAACTAATTTAAAAATTATAATTGTATCATCAAAACACTTATTTTGATAATTAAAAATAAGTTTAAAAAAAACCAAACAACCACCACCATCATCCGATTGAAAAAAAGCATAACTTTCCACCACCACGTGATCAACTACCACCATCTCCTTCATACAATGGAGAAGATCAACCTCCATCTCCGCCATTAGAAAATTCTAAATAAAATATTTAAAAACAAGATCTCTATAAAAATAAAAATAAAAGGCAGCTCCACACTATATCTCCCTATCCTGTCCCAGACACACATCCACCCTCCCCTCTCTGTATGTTTGTCTCTATGACTCTCTATCTGGTGGGATAGGTGTGGTGAGAAGAAAAATCCAATACATCTAGCCACCCACCCAACGGCGAATTGCTTGTCGTCTTCGGAATCTCGCCCTCCTCTCGACCAGATTGCCACCAATGACCAAATTCTCTCATGGCTAGGGTCCTTCATCACCACCATTCAAATGGGTCAGTTGTCAAATCCTATTGAGGCCATGGAGCTCACTTCCCCAAGTTTGTTGTAATTTCAATCGGAGTTGGTGGTTGTGAGTGTCGATGGATGCAAGAACATGTTCTTCGTTTTCTCCAAAAAGCGTGTTTTGCTTTCTTTACTTTTTTAATTTTAGTTTTTGTTAATAAAATTAATATAAAATGATAACATATTGATTTTTAAACTTGTTTTTTCTTAACCATTAGATCTATGACCATAGTTTCTTTGGACTACAGGGATCCAAAAGAACGGGACTGATGATATATATATGTTACACATTTAGTACAAAGTGTTTTATGGAACCTCACGGTAGAGACCATTGTGAGCGCTAATACTAAACTTGAGGACCACAAATGACAAAAAAAACAAAAAAAAACAATAAGGACGCAACTTGATAATTTCGTAGACCTTAGGATTAAGTGGGCGCATCTACAATATTTTACTATCATGAAATACCCATAAACAAAGGATTAAGAACAATTTTGAGACACATTTTGTATCAAATAGTACATAAACATTCCTGATACAAGACATCATAATCCAAAAAGCATAGAGACATGTAATTTGTCTATGTAATGCCACATATACGGAGATAACAAGACCAATGATCACTACTGCAACAAGAGCTTCCCCCTGATGAACATATAGACTATTCCTAATGCAAGACAACATCAAAGATACACAAAAATACATTTTATTTATCTAATAAGTTGGGGTTCGGTAAATTAGGAGAGAAAATCAGCAACAGCCTGTCCCTTGGTGGCAGATCGAAGCCTATAGGAATATCAAACTCCCTGAGCTCGATGGCCACTTAATCAGCATGTCAAATGTCTCTAGCTTCTGCAATACTTGTCTTAGAGACTTATTAGTAAGGGTACGAATGGTGTGGGCTTGGAAGTAGGGTCGAAGATGTCTGGCTGAAAAGACCAAAGCAAAGGCAATGTTTTTCTATGTCTGAGTATCGAACTTCGGCATCGTCATGTGGCCGGATTAACACTGAGCTAACTACAGGGGTAGAGACCAAAAGGTAGATCATGAGGGTTTCACTAGGCTTAGGTGCTGACAAGAGAGGTGCCTTGCTCATATATTCCTTGAGCTCGGTGAAAGCTTTATCGCATTCGGGAGTTGCCCTTGAGGGCCTTAAAGAAGGGTGCACATCGATTGGTAGCCTTAGAGATGAACCTAGTCAGGGCCGCGACACGTCCGGTAAGGCTCTGGATATCCTTGACTGTTTTATGCACCTTCATGTCCAAGATGGCTTGAATTTTTCAGGGTTTGCCTCAATACCTCTCTAACTGATCATGAAACCAAGGAACTTTCCTGAGGCCATGCCGAAGGCACACTTCATTGGATTGAGTCAAATGTTGTATTGCTTCAGTACAGCGAACACAGTTGACAGGTTAGGGTTATGTTGATCGGTGGTGCTTAGAAATCTGTATGATTTAATCCAATTCATTTATTAGGGTTTAGGTTTGAATTGTAAGTTGGGAATTACAATTCTTGGGAATTTTTTGAATTGTAATTTGAATTGTGATTCTAACCTTCTAATTGTTTCAATTTCAAGAAAAAAAAGGAGATATACTTTTCAATAGACTCGATGTTACAAAACTTTTCTGGGATGTGGATTTGGATTTGGTGTTCTTGTTAGGCCTGGGTGCGGTCTGGTTTGGACCGATTCTTGCTTAAAATTGAAACCAAAATTGCACTATTCATCCGGTCTGATTTGGTCCGATTTTTAATTAAAATGAGTGGCAAAACCGAACCAATTCGGATCTATAAAGATCGGTTCGGTTCTTCCGGTTCCCAGTTTCAAACTGTTTTTTTTCTTCCTTACATACTCATATCTAATCACTTCCTCTACAACCCAAAATCATATAAGAATAATCTCAAACATAAACAAAGGAATACAAATAAACCAAGCTAAAAACATATTCAATAATAACAGATCTAAATTGCTAAAAATATTCAACAAACAAATGCCCACATATCTAATTTTAGATCTACAAGAAGAGAGAGAGAGAGAGAGAGAGAGGAGAGAGAGAGAGGAGAAGAGAGAGAGAGAGAGAGAAATAGAAATAAACCAAAGACCAGAGAAAGAAGGAGAAAAATCAGAGTAAGAAAACTGCACCAGAGAAAGAGAGGAAAAAGAGAAGGAAAAAAAAAGAAGAAAGAGAGAGAGAGAAGGGAGAGAAAAAGAAGAGGGAAAAGAGACGGAGAGAGAGGGAAAAAAAGAGAAAAGGAAGAAGATCAGATGGATAGAAAAAAAAATGAAAGAAGACGAAGAAGAGACTTAGAGTGAGGGAGAAAAAGACACATGAAGAAAGAAAAAGAAAAGTGAGGGAAATGAAAAGATGATATGATAGCATGTCTTGTTGTCAGTTTTGGGAAAGTAAAAGAATAATATTTGTTTTGTGTTTTTTATGGTATAAAGTAAACAAAAATTTGGGCCTGGATTTTGTTGAAATTGGGCTTGGAGATGGCTCAAGTATATATATCTCAATAAATAATTATATTTATATTTAATCCGGTCTGATTCGGTTCATTGCGGTTTTGAGAGAGATAAAACCGGATCCAGAACCGATATGAACCAGTCCGGTTCAGTTTTGAATTTTTGTTGTTGACTTTTTAGTCAACTCGATTTTTTCGGTTTTTTTCAATTCGGATCGGCTCGGTTTTGCTGTTCTCCGGTTCTTATGCCCACCCCTAGTTCTTGTTTTTCAAATATTTGTACAGTAAAAACAAGAATTTGAATGGTACCCATTATAATTGAAAATGATGGTGAATGGTGATGAGGAATACATATTAGCAATGCAAATAAAAAAGAATTTGGTGTTTTTTTTCCATTGCCATTTAAGGTTCATAGTTTTCTAAGATCTTGGATTCTAGATAGTATTTCTTTCACTTCAGTTTAATTGTTCAATTAGTTTTAGAATTCTGGATATGTATTTCTTTATCTAAGGCCACATCTTTTATGGAAGTTGGTGATGTGAAGGATTGTTCTAAGTGTTTTTATTTTCATTTGTTTCTGCAGTTAGCAGAAAATTAAATCTAAAAGTGGGTACAGAAGACAACATGACATCACAAGTTGGTCGTGTGATTCACGATCAGAACCTTAATGCTCAATCTAATGGTACTTCTCAAGCCTACCAATTATTTTCTTTCTTGCCTAAAATTCTTGTAAGGCTATTTTGGTGTAACCCTTATAACATGTATCACAGGTGCTTCTGTTGTGGGAAAGACTGATACAGTTAAAACACAAAGAAAAGGAGGCCTTGGTGGAAAGAAATCGCTCGGTGATTTGTCCAATTCCGGGAAGCCTGCATTCAATCAGGTATCGAAAAAGCAGCATTCCAAGAATTTTGCCACAGGAGCTTCTATTGTGGGAAAGGGAGATGTTTTAAAAAACACAAATGAGAGGGCTTGGCGGAAGGAAACCACTTGGTGACATATCGAATTCGGGGAAGCCTGTTCTCTCCCAGGCATCAAAAAAGCAGCCTTCCAATAATTTTCCTGTCGTTGAGGAAGTGACCAGCCTTCCTAAAATCGTTCATGATGCAAGCACTAGGAAAGGTGTTTTTAAAGCCTCAGAGAAAGTGCAGACCCATAGTAGGAATACACTATCTCACATTTCAAACTCAGTGAAACCAAATCTGCAGAAGAACCACAGCATGAAGCTAAAGGTTATGGCGGAAGAACCTCTTTGTCCTAGTGCTATTGCAGAGGAGGGTTTCTTACACAATCATCAAGAATGCATCAAAGCACAGAACAAGGCCATGGACTTGGATCAACTTCTGCTGAATTTCAGTGAACTTAAGGCAAGTCTTAATTTCCTTTTTCTTCATTTTCTGAAGTTATTTTGTCGGTTTGGATTTCCTAACAATGTGGTTTTTTCGTCTTTGTTTTCAGCCGGAGAGTCCCTTAAGGTGCAAAAAGTTGGAAGAGATGTCTGAAAATCTTGACCCTCCACCTCCTGTATTTGAATCACCAAAATACTACACTGCATATGAGGATTTTGATGAGCTCTCTGACAAGTTTGACTATCCACCAATTGACTATACTGATTTCCCTTGGATTTCAGAGGACTGTGATTTCAAGTTGATGTCTCCAAATCATTGATTCCCCTGAATTTCCAGACTGTGCTCTATGAAATGCTGCATATGCAGTTCAAGAGAATCAATGAATGTTTTGTAAATTTTGGTTGTTCCATCCATCAACTTAAAATTGATATAGTCAGTCCTTTTAGAGGGTTTGGTTTATGTTAATTGTGTAAAACTCTGTTTGTAGCTGTTTGTAGTGTCGCTTGGTTTATGTTAATTGTGTAGAACTAACTCTGTTTGTAGTGTCGCTTGGTTTCTTTTGGCTTTTTTGTTAACTGAGTATTTGAATGTTCATAACTGCTTGTTCCAAAACTTGAAATTGATATAGTCAGTCTTTCTGCTTGTTCCATGAATTTTGGAATTGCCATATGTATTGTCATTATATATAAAATGCCAATTAGATCCTTATTTTTGGACGCTATACCTAATTTAATGGTTTCCTCTTCTAATTCACATATAGCACAATAATTCTCCACCCGCACTCCCCATCGAACTGCCAGAAGATTACAACAGCACCTCCACATAAAGGTGTTTCTGTTTTTTTAAATAATAATTACCGCTTGTTGTTATAATGCCAAAAAAAATATGTAAAAAGGCAAATAGCTAACTTCAATAAGAATCGAACTTGGGCACCTCTTTTAAGTGGAAACACGCTGGGAAGCCAACTCCACCACAGACGATGTTGAGGCCCAAAAAATTCACGATTTGGCCCAAATAAATTCTCGGTCCAATGCGATACCTTACCAAGAAGAAACCCAATTTGGGCACGCGGAAGTTCATCATATGCACTTGTACACATGCCACGCCAAGCAACACGCCACGCCAAGCAATGAATTATTATTCTGCACCTAATCACGCCACAAGCTTAAGTGGGCCCAAGCCACGCAAGATGCCTGGGGCTTGCTTGAGTGGATTGTGGTATGGATGGTAATAAGTTGTCATGAGGCCCATTGATGAGCCGAGAAATGAAGGTTTCGGGTTGCTTGGGAGCCTCGGAACCCAAGCCCATTTCTTAGGCCCAAACATGTGGGTGAGCACAAAGAGAAAATATCCCAACCAAAATAGCCTATTGACTCAACCAAAAAGCCCAACACCTCAAGCCAAACCTTGTTGAGGTTAGCCCATTTATTTTGACAAACCAACACATTATCTTAGAAGGCCCATACAATTAGAAAAGAGAAGAAGCCAAAGCATCAGCTCCTTGCTGAAAAAACAGAAGCCACGTAAGGAGCAAGATGTACACATATGTAGAGCTGCTGGAAGGCTCCAGCATATGGGAAGGAACAATTTCCAAGCACAAAACACCCAAAGAACCAAGGGATATTAACGTGCAAGGTGTCAAGAAGAGAAGCACCCTTCGAACCAGCATACATATCCTAATTCATTCCCCCATCAGACCTGGCCATGGAAAAAGGAAATAAAGAAAAGAAGGAGATGGATGGGAATGGAAGTCTCCCACTGAAACAGCTGCGGGAAAAGGGGCCTTGAGCTCCCAAAATTCATGATTTTGTGCAAATAGATAGAGGAAATTTCACCAAGATAGAAAAGTCAAGGGAGGAGATGAGAAAGGAAGGAAAAGCTTGGCCAAGTTGGGAAAGAAACCATTAGGGTTTCTTGGGAAAGGATAGTTTCCCGCAGCTATAAAATGAGGCCTCTTCTACCCAACAAAACCAACTCAGATTTAGAGAGCAAGCTTTCTCTCTTACTTGCAAAAACCCAGCAATTTCGTGCACTATTCACCCTTGTTATCCATTTTCCTCTTATGGCAGACCACTTTCACATCTGTCAGAAGCTTTGTCAAGCTGCCGAAAGAACATTGTTTTTCTTTCTCTCTTCTTAGCCAAATCAGCCTGCAAACCTCTTCTTCCTCACCTTAAACACTCCCATTTCTCCCTAGGAAGCCATATTTTCCTCATTGGTGCTAAACTCATGCTAATTTTGCTTCCATCCCATAAGCCTCTCATGCCAAGCTAGAAATTTATCTGTAAGCATCAAGAAATCATCTGTAAGCAGCCATTATTTTCATTGGTGAAGGTAACCAGAACGCTTCCTAAGGCTCTACTGCCCTTTCGAAGCACTTTTGGGGCTTGTTTTTCGAACTCAGGCTCAAGGGGCAATTTCTTCCATTTTGCTCTTTACGGCAGCCCAGACCCGTAGTAGCTGTCGGAAGAAAAAAGCCCCTATATTATATATACAATTCTTATAAATATTATATATACAATTCTTATAAATATTATATATAATATAAACAATTTTTTTTTCGGGGGGCCTGTGCGGTGGCACCACTTGCACCACCCTAGGGCCGAGCACATCCCTACCTTTTAATACATGTTTCCATCCCAAAGAACACACCCTTCCCTCCTTTGCAACAAGAAAAGATCCACAGGGGAAGTATTTTCCCGTAACACTCGACATTAAAGTGACGTTAGATTCTGAATTAATCTCCGACAAGTTCTAGCTAAAGTGGTTAAATTAAAGCAGATCAAATCCTTAAAACCAAAGTCACCTCTGTGGCAAGTTTGAGTAATTTGATCCCCAGAAGCCCAAGGATTGCTCTTCTTCAACATCTGCCCTTCCCACCAAAACTAACCAAGACTCCATTTTATCTCTTTACAAATCCTTATTGGTAACTATTGATACCGTGACTAATCGAGCAACTAGTTAAGCAAGACCAGCCACGTGCCATGCTTTAAGAGGTCATCACCTTTGCCAAAGAAACCTTACCATAAGTCACAACTCTAAGCAAGGCAGGGAGTCCCACATTGGAAGACTACAACAGGCGGAGACTCTCCCTCACCTATAAAAGAAGACCACTCTCTGCTTAGAAAAGGTTCTTTGGTCTTTAGCCTCAGACTCTTGGGCTTTGTACCTTAGGCATTAAGCCTTTTTCCCTTTATCTTTCGGTCTAATCCCCTTGTACAAATGTAAACAAACATTATAATAATGAGAACATCCTTCTCCGTGGACGTAGCCCATCATTCGGGTGAACCACGTATACCTTGTTTTCTGCATGCTTATTTACTTTACTTATGTTGAATGTCACTAACTGCCGAAGGTAGCCTCCTGCTTTGCCTCCCAAAGGCACATACACATACTGAAGGCCCACGTCTTTAAACACCATCCACCACTCCACATCTATCCAAGTTGAACTTCATTTTGAGCATCAACAGTAACTTATTGAAATACATCATATAATTTGGCATTGCCATTGCAAATGCCTTAACTAGAATCTCTTTCCCAGCTGGCAATAAGAATTGCTTTGACAGGACCTGACCCAAATTCCACTTTGGAATCTGAACCGAGCCCTGTGCATGTCCAAATTGCCCTTCTAACGAAACCTAAAGTTTCTTTAGAGTTTGACTTCTACCAAAAATTCGGCAGTCTCCCATGTAAATTTCTCGTTTCCTAAATTTTTCACATGTACAACAAGCAATTTAAATATCCACAATCGCTCAGCATGCACAATATATAATTCAAGCAACCAACATCAAATCTTTATGGCCTCAGGCCTCTTGAAAACAAATAAAATGTTCTGCCAATAGAAACGGATCCAAACTTTTGAAACAACACAAATACGTTAATAGATTTCGAAATAATTTAACTGAACAACTTTTCAATCATTTGGTATCGCTGCTGCACCTAGTAATCTCTAGGTTGCCTACGTACCCTTAACCAGGGATCAAGCTACACGTAGTTCTTTCACTTTTCACATTTGCACTTGAATAAATTCATCAATTGCTATTTTTCAATGAAATTTGCAAATCAAACCATTGAAATTCAAGCATGGGTTGTTGATTTCAGCACAATCTTCCACTCATCCCATACAAGCTTATACAAATATATATTTAATTACTTATTATAGAAAAGTAGCAATCGAGAAAATTATTAAAATAGCACTGACCCCATGAAACCTAAATGTCATTACCAACAATTTAAATAAAAACCTACTTCCCTCTTTCTCATATAACAACAAATTCATTACTCAAGAAAATAATTATGAATTGTATAAACTCTTGAAAACTTAGAAATCCTCAATCTTTGTCTCACACATTGGAAAATGTATTAAAGCTTTTACCAATAAATATCAAGATAAAATCACGAATTTTAGTTTAAACATCTCATTTACTCTCCACCTAGGTGTACCCCCATTTATATTCCGTCAATTCCTTTAATATGCCGTCAATTCCGATAAGATTCCATCAATTCCATGATTTTCTATTTAATTCCTACAATATACCGTCAATTCCTTGTGTCACATAATATGACACATCCTTGCAGGTCTTGGGAACACAAAGTCATCTTGAGCCGCATTCCTTGCAGGCCTCAGTGACACAAAGTCATTCTGAGCCGCAATCCAATCTAAACCCACTATACAAGAAGTTCCATATGATAACATAAAGACAAATCCCAAAATCCCTCCAAAATCAACATAGCTCCACTAATAGTTAAGACTCGTTAATAAGGTAGTTCTAGTACTTCCCAAAGGGTGAAGTTACCTCAACAGACTCACGGTCAACCGAGGGGTCAAATTATCCAAACATGGTCAACCTGGCCCGCGGGGCCCACGACTTCGGATTTCCGATCCGAAGATTCCTATGAGTTCCACAAGGTTTACTAAGCATGTCCTGCAAGTTTGGTTCAAATCGAACGGTCAGATCATACGATCGGACGATTATTGTTTACCACAAACTTTAAGTTATTGAATCTGAACATCCGGGCTCCGATTCATGATTCGCGAATTCCTACACCCTCCTAGGAATGCCTAAATCAACATATTTTCAAATGAAGTCAATCCAACAGTCCGAACATGTTGAACCTGGATAACGCTTAATACGCAATATCCGATCGACGGTCAAACGGTCACCAAATTCATATCTGAGCATACCTTTGTGCTCAGAACGACATGGGGAACATTTTTAGGATAAAAACCCAACCTTGACACCCCGCCGAAAAACCGCCACCGCCAGCAGGTGTATTGAGTAATTTTCCGGCGATCGAAAAACTCCAAATTGCCAGCCAAGACTTATACCTACATGATCAGAACATCAAGGGGAGTAACTTTATATCTTGGCTCAACGATCAATTCCACCTTTAAAGCCCTCGAACGAAGCTTTCTGTCTCTTGAAAAACCTAGAAATTCTAGGTTTGAATTCGACGGTTTGGGATGAAATCAAGTCGGGTCTTCGAGGAAAAATACAAAGGGAAGGTAGGGAAGTGTTTTGGAAGTGATTGGGTGGCTGGTAGTAGCCGGAGTTGGCCGAAGATGGAGGCAGAAGTCGCTGAAAATTCTGAAGAATATTTTGGCATATTTTTGGCTTTGTTTTCGATCGTTTTTCCGGTTTTCTTGCTTGAATTTGGGCCTAGAAATTGGTATTAATGGAAATAGGAGAGAGAGACGAAGAGTTAGTGATAGGAATTAGGAGTTAGAGCCAAAACTGTAAAACAGTTTTGGATAGTTAGTTAGCCACGTGTCAAGTGTTAGTTGGGGAATCTGTTACAATTACTGTTGTATCCTTGACGGTGGCTTTATTACCAATTTGAGGAGCCATTGTACGTATTATTGAGAAATATACAGAAAACATTCTTTGGGTTCTCTCTGTTCTTGGTTAATGTCTAAGGTTGAAAGATAGAGTCCTATCATTGGTATCAGGCCATTGATCCTCTAAGCTATTCCTTTAGTATATGACCCGTGCTCGTGTTCGTACTCGCGCGTTAACAATGGACGCTCGTGTTGCTGCGCTAGAAACCTCTAATTCCAAGAACCAAGTCATTTTGGAAACAATTCAGCGTCTTCTTGAGGATAAGTTTGCATCCATCGACAAACGCCTCGATTCAATTGATTCTCGTCGTGAGGGTTTTGATCAGCCATTTCCGCCTCCATCTGATGATGACGACGGTGATGGCTCTCGACAGCGCGGAGAGAGGGATCATCGAGAGAGGGAAAGGGGTTTTTCTTCTGAGAATCGGATGCCCTTTGTTAAGATCGAATTTCCCAGATTCAGCGATGGGGATGACCCAATTGAATGGATTTACAAGGCGGAGCAGTATTTTGATTACTTTTCGGTGCCTTCTGAGAAAAAGGTAAAAATGGTTTCTTTCCATCTGGATAGTGAGGCTCTGCAATGGTATCAATGGGAGGAATGTGCTTCTTCTTTGTCCAAATGGGAAGATTTTACCAGGGCATTTTGCAGAGAATTTGGCTCTCATGGGTTTGAGGATTTTGCAGAGTCACTCTTTAAGCTTCGTCAAACAGGTCCCTTAAAGGATTATATTGCTGAGTTTCGCCGATTGGCAACTCGAATTTGTGATCTTAGTCCTACTTTTCGATTGAGCTGTTTCGTTGGAGGATTAAAGGAAGAACTCAAGCATGATGTCAAGCTGCTTCGTCCTGCTACAGTTCATGAGGCCATGAATTTTGCTCATGAAGTGGATGCTAAACTTCAGAAGTTGAGGTATGCACATTCTGCTGGAAATTCTAAGTCAAGATTGCCTCTTTTACCCATTCAAAATGATTTAGTTTCTGCTAAAAATGAAGTTGTTCCTAGGAAGGATATGCCTGTCAAGAAATTAACCCCAGAAGAAATCCAATATAAACGGCAGAATAATCTTTGTTTTTATTGTGATGAAAAATTTGTGAGGGGTCATAAGTGTGCAAGGAAACAAATCTTGGTGTTGGATATGGGTTATAATAGTTCTGAAGAAGAGGAAATAGTTCATGAATTACAACAGATTGAACAAGTGGCTGAGGTAAATGCTTGTTGTATCACAGCTTGTGCTTTGTATGGTACTCCGGCTCCTCTTGCTATTAAGACTATGAAACTCACAGTTGTAATTAAGAACTGTCCTGTTGTGGTCTTTTTAGACTCTGGAAGTTCTCATAATTTCATCGATATTGGCATGGTTAAGAAGTTGGGTTGGAAGTTAGATCAGTCTCATATTTGTGATGTCATGATAATTGATGGTGGACAAGTTCAGAGTAAGGGTTGTTGTGCTGCAGTTCCTTTAGCCATCGGGACTTATGTATATACCTCTGATATGTTTGCTTTGCCATTGGGAGGCTGTGACATTGTGTTAGGGGTTCAGTGGTTGAGAACTCTTGGTCCAATCTTGTGGGACTTTGAGAGATTAACTATGAAGTTTTGGCATGGGATTGAGCAAATCTGTTTGTCCAGTTCTAAGCCTCAGCCTCCACAGCCTATTTCTTGTCAACAGATGGACAAGTTGTTGCATTCAGGTTGTTATGGTGCGATTCTCTGTGCTGTAGAATGTGAAAACATGGCCAAACCCGTAGATGATTTATCCTCACCACAACAGCATGAATTGCAAGCCTTATTGGATTCTTTTTCTGCTGTCTTTGGAAACCCAACTACACTACCTCCTGTGAGAGAACATGATCATCGGATCCCACTAATTTCTGGTTGTAAACCACCAAGCATTAGACCAAATGCTTATGGACCACTTCAAAAGTCAGAAATTGAAAAGTGTGTTAAGGAGCTGCTGGACTCTAGATTTATAAAGAACAGTCATAGCCCTTTTTCTTCTCCTGTTTTGTTGGTCAAGAAGAAGGATAGCACATGGAGAATGTGCATGGATTACAGACAGTTAAACGAGTTAACTATAAAGGATAAATATCCAATTCCACTTATTGATGATCTGTTGGATGAATTGCATGGGGCAAAGTATTTTTCCAAATTGGACTTGAGGAGTGTCTATCATCATATCAGACTTCATCCAGAAGATATTGAAAAAACAGCTTTTCGGACTCACGAGGGACATTATGAATTCCTTGTTATGCCCTTTGGTTTGACAAATGCTCCTGCCACATTTCAAGGTTTGATGAATGAGATTTTCCGGAATTGTTTACGGAAGTTTGTCTTGGTATTTTTTGATGATATTCTTGTTTACAGTACTTCATGGTCAGATCATTTGAGGCATTTACATACTGTTTTGGAAATTTTAAAGCATCATCAACTTTTTGTCAAGATGTCCAAGTGTGCGTTTGGAGTTTCTACTATTGAATATTTTGGTCCACATCGTCTCTAGGCAAGGAGTTTCAGCTGATCCTTCCAAATTAAACGCAGTGGTTGACTGGCCTATACCTACTTCTATTAAAAGTTTGAGAGGATTTTTGGGTCTCACAGGCTATTATCGGAAATTTATTCCTCACTATGGTAGGGAAAGTTTCCCTTTGACTCAGTTAACTAAGAAGGATGGATTTTTGTGGACTCCAGAGGCTACTACTGCCTTTCACAAACTCAAGGAACTCATGTTATCTCCTAGGGTTCTCGCCTTGCCAGATTTTACAAAACCTTTTATCATTGAGAGTGATGCTTCTGGATATGGTATAGGAGCTATGTTACAGCAGGAAGGCAAGCCTATTGCTTTTACCAGCAAGACTCTTGGTCCTAGAAACCAAGCCCTTTCCACTTACGAGAGGGAAATTATGGCAATTGTTCATGCCATTAAGAAGTGGCATCATTACTTACAAGTAAGGCACTTTATCATTAAGATAGATCACCATAGTCTTAAATATTTTCTCAATCATAAGGCTCACACTCCTTTTCAACAAAAATGGGTCACCAAGCTTTTGGGCTATGATTATGAGATACACTATAGGCAAGGGAGTGATAATAAAGCAGCTGATGCTTTGTCTAGATTTCCTATCAATCACAGCTCTTCTACTGACCAAGTTCAAGTCTTTGCCATGGACAACTTGCCCATTGGAACTGATGTTTATGAGCAGTATATTGAGAATTTGGCAATTACATATCCTTATCACAGTTGGATGGATGATTTACGACGGTACAATGAGGGTGATCCTTGGATTCTTAGTAAAAAAAAAGAAGTTCTAGCTGTTGCTGGTCCTACACATTCACCTCATGCACCATCTCTTTCTACAACAAATCATTTACTCAAGTTTCACATTGACAATGGTCTCCTTCAATATAACTCCAGAATAGTCCTCAGTCTTGATTCAATTTGGAAGACCAAAGTTTTTGCTGCTCATCACTCAGTTCCAACAGCTGGTCATGCTGGGTTCTTGAAGACTTATCAAAGACTTTCTCGGAGTTTTTATTGGCCAGGTATGAAACATGATGTGCAAAAAATGGTAGCTGAATGTCACACCTGTCAACAACATAAGTATGAAACTGTGACTCCTGCTGGTTTATTGCAACCCTTGCCTATACCAGATAAGGTGTGGACTGGATATCTCAATGGATTTATTGTTGGATTACCCCCTTGCCAAGAGAAATCTGTCATTTTTGTAGTAGTTGATCGTCTGAGCAAGTATGCCCATTTCATTGCTTTATCCCATTCTTATTCAGCTGCTACCATTGCTCAGCTCTTTGTGGACCATGTGTTTAAGTTACATGGTATGCCTAGCACCATTGTTTGCGATAGGGATCCAGTATTTGTTAGTGACTTCTGGAAAGAATTCTTCAAATTGCATGATGTAGCTTTACGGATGAACTCTGGTTATCATCCACAAACTGATGGCCAAACTGAAGTGGTTAATCGGTGTTTGGAGACCTATTTGAGGTGCTTTGCTGCTGCTCAGCCCAAAAAATGGTTGCTTTGGTTATCTTGGGCAGAATTTAGCTATAATACAACCTATCATACATCAACCAAGTTAACCCCATTTGAAGTTGTTTATGGTCAGCCCCCACCCATGGTTACACCATATGAGCCAAGCACTACAAGATTTGCCAATGTTGACAGAAGCTTGGCTGCCAGAGACAGAATGTTGACCTTGCTGAAATCTAATCTCCTTATGGCATAGAATCGAATGAAGATTCAAGCTAATAAACATCGCTCTGAAAGGGAATTTCAGGTTGGGGATATGGTGTATTTGCGGTTGGTCCCTTATCAGTTACAGTCCTTGGCTGCTCACTCATGCCACAAACTTTTGCCCAAATTTTATGGACCTTATGAGATACTGGAGAAGTTGGGACCAGTGGCTTACAAACTCCAATTGCCTACTGGTTGTAAGATCCACCCCGTATTTCATGTGTCTTGTTTGAAGAAGCATTTGGGATCTCACGTGACTCCTTCGTTAACATTACCTCGAATTACTGAAGATGGTATTGTGCAAGATGAGCCACATGCTATTTTGGAAAGGAAGTTAGTCAAACGAGGTAATGCTGCGGGGGGTGGATGTCTTAGTGCATTGGAAGGGTCACACACCAGAGGATGCCACGTGGGAGGACTACCATGACCTCCAGGCCAGATTTCCAGAATTCATTGCCCAGGTTGAAGTTGCTTTTAATTCCAGATGAATCATGTTGCAATTGCTGTAGCAACTCTATTTTTTGTTCTAATAAGTTTTCAATGCTTGTAAACTTAGCTTCAAAGGGAGGGGTAATGATAGGAATTAGAAGTTAGAGCCAAAACTGTAAAACTGTTTTGGATAGTTAGTTAGCCACGTGTCAAGTGTTACTTGGGGAATCTATTACAACTACTGTTGTATCATTGACGGTGGCTTTATTACCAATTTGGGGAGCCATTGTACGTATTGTTGAGAAATATACAGAAAACATTCTTTGGGTTCTCTCTGTTCTTGGTTAATGTTTAAGGTTGAAAGATAGAGTCCTATCAGTTAGAAAGTTGTGGCACCAGATTTGGTGGCTAGACGGAAGAGAAATCAGTGTTTGAAAAATGGTTGTTCGTCAAATTCGCGAGAGAGAATAAATCTGTGTTTAAAAATGTGAACTTCGAAAAATTTACAATTATGCCACTGAACTTCTTTTGATCGTAACTTCTTCGTTACAACTCCGATTTGAGCCCACTATGTGTTTACGGACTCATCTCGACGTGTTCTACGCAACGGTATAACTGAAATCCCCAAATTCCTTCCCCAATCAAAAGTCAACTTTTAAACTATTAAAATATTCCAGGGTAAAATTGTCTTTTACTTGAATAAATTAGTAATTAAAAATTAATTTAAGTTCAGGTTATTACATGCTCCGCCCACCCTTTCACTCTCCCTTGGGATTTGCTTGACTTTTACTCTTAAGTTTGGCACCTCATTAAAAAATCATCTGAAGGCTAGTAAATTGACACCACATATATTACCAAAACAAAAACTTAAAACAAGAAGTTTACGTTCTCTTCTCTCTTCAAATCAGGTTTTCAAATTAGGTTCAATTTATGGATTTTTAGACCAAGTTTTAAAATGGCTCTTTTAAGGATTTTAATTTTTGGAATCCATAATTAAAATCCTTAATCGAGCAATTTTAGTTTCTTCTTCATTCGATCCTATAGTTTCTAACAACTATTTTTTCTCATAAATTTGAGCTTTATTTATCGTCTTCTTCAATGGTCACATATCTTCTTTGTCTGACCAACCTTAATTATTACAACTTCTTGCATATTTCTTGAACCCTAACTCCTAATTCTCAACTCCAGACATCCAATTGTCATCTATGGCTTCCTCATGAACCCATGGCAGTAGTTTTGAATCCACTGCCCCCGCTCATATTTCTGGTCAAGATGTCAAAGAGCATGCCAGAAAAGTTCATGAGGCTTTTGGTGATTATCTAAACAAAGGTTTTGATGAAGCCAGTTCGTGCACTGTTCATGGTCAATCACTTCTGGGTGGTCGATTCCTTAAAGAACTTCCTGTTGAATTTCAAGATTTGATCAAGAGGGCTATCATAGCACCACTCTATTATCAATAGTACAATCTAGACTTCACTCTTGGAATAACAAGTATATGAGCAGAGCATTTCCCAAAAGGTAGCTCAATTAAATGGGTTGACTAAATTAAATATTTAGAAGGGGTTGTTTATACCATAATCAACCGAGCATATTTGACACTAAGGACCAGAGCACGGACAGATCCATAGCCAGTTGAAGGTAGGACACTTGCTGGGAATCCCTAGATAACCAATGACCTCATTATCTCAGCTATCAAAGCCACCTTCCTCCAATGCGCCAATTACCAGCCGAAGGTTATTGCCAAAGCTCTCAATTACATAACCTAAGCCTTAGACACATGTCACCACCACGAGAACTTTCACAAAGTCCCACATCGAGACTTTGTGCAAACTCCCACCTTTACCTCTCCATAAAAGAGGAATTGTGCCCAAG